CAGAACCCTGTCTATAAAAGTCCGTTACCCAATATACGGGGCGTCTTTCGGTGGACTTTTTGACCCGTGCGTCATTTGTGGGAACTAAAAGTTAAACTAAAATGTCTACTATGGCATTTACAGGGGATAAACAGGGAACCCGCCCCCCAGGAGGAAACCTGAGGTCGAAAAATCTGCCATAGGAACAAATTCCTACACACGCAATGAACCTTCAGGTCCCCACATCCGGAATAACCCCAATAATGGCCATGTGAATTCTACAACTAGATCCACAACCATTCATTTAAAAAAAGAAACGCCCTCGTGAAGAGTACAAACTCGTTATGACTGCATTCTATGTTGCGTTGCACAAACCTTACAAAAGCATCACTATAAGACATTTGACGGGAAAAGGTTGGACAAACAATTAGAAAGTACACTGATGAAAATAAATTAAGCAATGTAAGAAGGTACATCATGAGAAATAACAGATTGACAGATGCTGAAATTTAAGAAATAAAAAGACCTGAAACCAGAATAGGTGAATCTCCAGAACATGAAATGGAGTCAGAAATGGACATAAAAATTACTAACATCACACAAACCACAAATCATAATGAAAAAACTGAGATACATGCCAATCACTGGGAAAGTAATGAAGTGTTAGATGAGTTGTAAAGGCGTGAAAAAAAGAATCGTATACAAGAAGCCAAGGAAGAAATCATGAGACATATGAGTCAGACACAAAATATTGAAATGGAGGAATACTGGATGATGTGCAAACACTTTGGAAAAGTTGTTAATAATCGCTGGTATGTACATCACCCAGCAGCGGTTAGAGAAATAGAAGACATCCCAATTCTACGGGATTACACAATCTTTACCGACCGGAAGATTGATGCAAGTAGTCCGTAAATAATAATAAACGGAAAAGAAAAAAACTTGCCTACTAATTGATATGGATTGGCCAACGGAGTGTAACTTATCAACCAAGGAAATTGAAAAAAAAAACTATCAAAGTAGAAAGACATGAAAATCAAAATAGAAAAAATGTGGAAACTGAAAAAAAAAGAATAGTA